AGGGGTCAAGACCAGGCTGGAGAAACCCACAGAAACAGCTGACCTGAACAAGGGGGAGTCCTTGGTCCCCAGAATGATAGCTGGGAAACTAGCATGGGACTGATCCAGACTCCATGAACGTGGGTGTCAGTGAGGAGGTCTGGGCAATCTATGAGGTCAGTACTTATCCCTAGCATAGGAATGAACTTTGGGAGCCCATTCTACATAGAGGGATACTCCCTCAGCCTAGACACATGGAGGGGGGCTAGAACTTATCCCAAAGGACATGACAGACTCTAAAGATTCCTCCATGGAAGGCCTCACCCTCCCTGGGGAGCAGAAAGGGTATTGGATAGATAGAATGTTAGTGGGGGGCAGGGGAGGAGTGGAGGGAGAGGAAACTGGGTTTGACATGTAAAACAAGCTTGCTTCTAATTTAAATTAAAAAAGTGGAAAAAAAAGAAATTAATTTTGCTAGGTATCAGATCTTACCTAGCATGTTTTGTTATCAGGAACATGGGATCCCTTTTATAGGCTTTTAGTCTCATGAATTAAAAAAAAAAACTTAAAACACATTTCGAAGAAAATTTAAGGACAAGTTTATTAGTTTAAAAGAAAAAAATAGGATAGGCAAGCTGGGAATCAATGGCTTCTGACCCTCCTGTTGTAAGACCCATGCTTCAATGCCAGGGAAGGAGGAGGGTCATGAGAGGTCAGGAGGTTGAGGAGAATTTGATGAATCACAGAGTGGTAAGACATATCCATTAGGCAGGCAAAAACCAGCAGTCTCCCAAGTACACACAGGCTTACACATGCGGGCATGGACACATACACGGACTAGCACACAGGCCACATGAAGCCTGGACAATCTATGGGACCACTTGTAGTGGATCAGTATTTACCCCTAGTACACAAATGAACTTTGGGAGCCCTCTCCACATAGAGGAATACTCTCTCAGCCTAGACACATGGGGAAGGGTCTAGGCCCTGCTCCAAATGATATGACAGACTTTGAAGATCCCCTATGGAAGACCTAACCCTCCCTGGGGAGCAGAAAGGGGATGAGATAGGGGGTTGGTGGGGTACAGGGGAGGAGGGGAGGGAGAGGGAACTGGGATTGACATGTAAAACAAGCTTGCTTCTAATTTAAATTTAAAAAAATCTGAGAGAGAAAAAACCCTCAAATTATAAGTAGAAATATAAATTGATGCATTGAAAAATACTTTATATTGCTAAGCTAAGCTTAAAAAGGTAAATGTCTGGGCTAGACATGGTTAATCACACTGCTCTTCCAAGAGATTTGGGTTCAATTCTCAGCACCCACGTGGCAGCTCACAACTGTCTGTAACTCCAGTTCCAGGGGATCCAACACCCTTATACAGACATACACGCAGGAAAAACACCAATGCAGATAAAAATAAAATTAAAAATATTAAAAAGACCTATTACCAGGGTTCCTTTCCCTAGTTATTTTCCTTAGAGAAATTCTTACAAATAGACATCAAAAGCCATTTAAGAGAACATTCATCAAAGTTGTATTTCTCTAAGAATTTTTACATTTAAACTTAAAACAGTGTAAGGGGAACACCCTACCCCAAAAGGGATAGTATATTTGGATAGCTAAGTACTTATTCCATCATATTTGAATATGATGAAATATCTCACAGCAATAAAAAGAGAAGTATTTGAGTTACACATACCATCATGGATGGATCTCACAAACAGGATTCTAAGTAAAGGAATCAAGGTACAAAAGAACACATACTTCAAGTTCAAAAACAAGAAAAGTAAAATAGTTGCATTTGTATTCTTTGATGACAAAGGTATTTTTCAAAAGAGAGAAATGATATGATTATCATTAGTAGGATAGAGCTGGCGCTGGAACTGACCTGAAAGCCTTTTCCTAAAGGATTAGCTTTCACCAGAAAAGGAGCTATGGGAGTTTCCAAAGGAGGGAAGCAACCTGTAGATATATTTTGTTTATGGCCTAACAAATAAAGCTTGCCTGAAGACCTGAGTGCAGAGCTAGCCACACTAGTTAGCCATACACCTAGTTAAGAGCGAAGCCACTAGTCAGCCATAGAGGACAGGCAGTGATGGCCACACCTTTATTTAAACCCAGCACTTGGAGACAGAGGCAGATGGATCCCTGTGAGTTCAAGGTCACCATCGGCTACATGAGAGTGAGTCAATCTAAAAGAGAAACAGAGCTCACACCTTTAATCCCAGCACTAGGGAGGAATATAAGGCAGAATCTCGGTGCAGTCTAAGTACAGTATGAGGTTTGGTGGAGACAGATGCAGTCAGATTTACTCTGAGGTAGAGGTGAGAGCTAGTGGCTGGCTGCTTTACTTTTCTGACCTCCATCTATAACCCCAATATCTGTCTCTAGGTTTTTATTATTCGTGTTACAGCAAACCAACAGTCCCACCCAGCTATAATGCCTATAAAGCACAATGCCAGCACGGCACCATAACACCAAGGTTCAGTAGTGGCACTCATACCTTGGCAATAACTTACAGCTGGATTTTTTAAAAGAATTTATTTATTTATTATGTATACAACATTCTGCTTCCATGTATATCTGCACACCAGAAGAGGGCACCAGATCTCATAACAGATGGTTGTGAGCCACTATGTGGTTGCTGGAAATTGAACTCAGGACCTCTGGAAGAGCAGTCAGTGCTCTTAAACCTCTGAGCCATCTCTCCAGCACTAACAGCTGGATTTAAGGCCTGCTCAACAATAGGGAAATAGTGCCTGATCCTGGAAACCCAGCCAACTACCCTGAGAAAGTGAAGCCATGGATCTTGGAGAACCTACAACTGTCACTTGCAGAAAACTACAACCAATCAAAATATAGACTTGTGGAGCCTAGTCCCAACAGATATATCTGTAATACAACTCCTGTACCTAAGGCTCAGATAACATTGAGGAAGGGGAGGGAGGAGATTGTAGCCAGACAACAAGGCATTTGCTGTGAAACTGTATCTTCTAGAAATGTCAGAAGCCACACCCATAAAGTATGAACAAGAAGAGTTGAACAAGGAATAAACATGCTAATGTGGAGGGTGGGTTAAGTCCATGAAGCCTCAACCCTAGACAAGAACTAAAGGCAACTAAAGGATGCTGGGAGCAGGAAAAACAGTATTTGTCAGTTAACAGTATACTAATTGGTTATCTAATAACAAATGGTCAGTCCTGAAAATATATACATGTAACATTATATGGACTTAACAGATTGTATTTATATATTTAGGAATATGTATGTTTGTAATAATAGTTAACATAAATGAGGCCACGAATTTAAAAGTGAGCAAGAAGGAATGCGTGGGAGGGTTTGGGAGGAGGAAAGCAAAAGGGGAAATGGTGTGATTATATTATAATTTCAAATTTTAAAAAATAATTTTCAAATGAGAGGAATTATATAATTAGCATTGAACAGGATAGAGGCCACTTCTCAGGAAGGGAACCAATATGTGGTGAGCGTATGTGGTGGCCTCAGAAGGTCTGAGCAACAAATGCCCTATTTTCAATCTGAGCAGTGACTGACTATATGGATTGACTCTATTCCTTCAACTACAGATATAAACTTTACTCATTCTTTCCCAAAGTTCTGATGACTTATCTAGATGGAAATTGTTTCTCCTAGACAACTAAATTGGCCATTTCCCCACTAGGCAGCCAGCAACAAAGGGTACTTATAAAGACTTGAAACCCTAAGAAAAAAAAGAGTCTGAGAAACGGAAAGGTCTTGTCTATACACCTGGAAAGTACCAGGGAGATGGTAGAATACAAGAAGGTCCCTGTAGGTGCTGGTGGCAGTACAGGCGGTAGAGATGAGTCATCTCTAATCCACTCTTGACAACATAATGACAATCAATCTACACACAGGAACTGCAAAAGTGAAAATCCTCAACTGAAGCTTTAGGGGTTTCTGTTTTCGGAGCACAGGGTCAGTAACTCTGAATCAGTGTTCTGAAGGTGGGAAAATGATGTGTTTATATTGGTAGGAGCTGTTGAAGGTTAAGAAATGAGCTACATGACTATTAGATGACAAAAAAAACTATATACACAGAATGGACTTGCAGATAAGGAAATTGTCTAATAACCATTTGTTATGTGCTTGTGATGGGGGGGTGTCAAAGCTTACAAGTCCTGCTTCCTTAATGACTGCCCTTCTTTTTGGTTTTCAAGACAGGGTTTCTCTGTATAACAGCTCTGGCTATCCTGGAACTCACTCTGTAGACCAGGCTGGCCTCAAGCTCACAGAGATCCACCTGCCTCTGTCTGCTGGGATTAAAGGTGTATGCCACAACCGCTGGCCTTGTAAAGTTCTTTTTAATGGTACTTTCAAAGTAGTTTTTGCTCATAAAATAAATACTGCAGGGAAAACTGTAAACTCTGCTGTTTACTATTTTTAGGACCTGTAGTGGAAATCTCATCCTGACAGCGGTGGGAGCAGCCACTTTTAATTTGTTCTTCCAACTTCTGGCTTCCATCTCCTTCAGACTTTCCCACTTTTACTTTTCTTCTAATGATTCTCTGGAAAACAAAAGTTTCAGATGGGACTTCTTCCCATGAGATTGCTCAGGACTACCAATGTATTGAGATGTCTTTGGACTTTCAAGTTGTCCCAATACCCTCCTTTACCTAGTTACTTCCTCCCAAAGAAAACTAAAATGGCAAAGAGAACAGACCCAGGCAGGAAAAGATAGGCAATTGTGTGTCTGTACCCCCAAAACTCTTACGGTATCCTACACAGGAAATACAAAAACAGCATACAATATTCATCAATCCCTATTCATGGGTATGTCTGAATATATCAGCAAGAATTGGGAGGGCCTCATGTACTTAAACAGAGAAAACCATTGTTTGAGACAGCCTGGCTTCCTCTGTTGCTACCCAATACTACATAGTACCTTCTGTCACAACTCTTTTAGTCAGAGTTTCAGAAAATGAGCTACTTGCTCCACACTGAAGAAATACAATGAGAAGACAAACTGAACACCAAACCAATGGTTTCTGGTTTAAAATATTTTTATTATTAAAAAAGTACAGTAATCAGACAGAACAAGATTGCTTAGTACTCAAGCACACACCCTGCCTGGAAGCTGCAGCGGGGAGTGCCCACTGAGCTACAACAGAGGAACCTATGGGTGGCCATGCTTACTGAGGCAATTCTCGAGAATCTTCAGGTACACAACAAACTTGGATAGGAGTGCTCAACATCACACCTCTGAACAGGAACAAGTATAAAATGGAGTGAAGAGAGGTGCTGCTCTAAAGCACTAAAACAAGGAGGCACAAACAGAAGAGTTATAGAGACTAATGCATAATATACTGTTTTATAATTTCTTTAAATAATGACAAAACTCCAATAAATCCCTTCACTGCAGGCTCCTTTCCCCACCACAAAAAGTCAGTTTCTGGTACTGCTCTCCTGCTGTGACCTCCTGTCAAAAACAGGGATGAACATCACTAGGGACCATCTTCCCTTTTCATTCAGGAATACAACGAAAACAGCACTGTATACAACATAGTTATAAAAGTAACGTCCAACACAACTATTTGTACTGACCCTAGGAAACATCTACTGGAAGGGAAGGAGAATTTGTTAACAAAATAGTTATCTCTTCCCTTGCCCCCAACCCACCACCAGAAAAAAAGAAATGGAAAGCGATAACCCAGTGATTGAAAAACACCTATGTAATTTCCATTCTCTTCCAGTCCACTCCCAGCCCAACCATCCCACCCCACTCCCCTCCTACCTTTACTGTTCAATGTACAGTACACGCAGAAAGAGAAATTTTTAACTGATGAAACGGAACTGACCAAAGACTGAAAAGCTTTGAGAAATTGTCTTTGTGCTTCTGACAAAGTTATATGTAATGCAGTCCAAGCAGAGTAAGAAAGGGAGAAAAATATAATTTCAAAACTATGTGTTTTGCCTCTTATTATTTTAGGTCCTAATACGTTTCTGGAAACAGTTGATAATCCTATAGTCAGAGGATTAGGGAAAGTGAGGGTGACAGAGCAAACAGTATCGCTTCCAGTGGCCACTCTCCATTGATCTTTCTCATTGACTTAAATTTACTGGTTTACTGATGAGGGCTAATCTCCTTTCCATAAGATAAATACAGGGTACTCTAATTAGAATCATAGTAATGATTATAATACTTTCTTGCTCATTTAGAGATCACGTATCATTTTTTAAACATCTATTAATAAGAAGCCTCACAACACTCCTGTGAGGTAGATATGTGGATCCCCATTTCTAGATGGGTTAATAGAGGCACAGAGAGGTGATGTGACTTGCCTAAAAACTGGGGAAAATAGAGAAGAGAGGCAAATCAGAGTACCACCCAGTTGTCAGAGATCCATATTTAGTAGAGAAAAAGACAGTGTTTCTTTAAACTAGGCCCATGCAGTTGCTTTCCCATTTATCCCTTATATAGGAATTAACATACAATGGAAGATAAACAAGTTTCCTTGACTTATTCAAGGTTATGTCAATCACTAATGGTTTGCTTCATGTCAGTATTTTGGGGGATAGGATAGAATTGAGAATACAGATGTCTTGTAGACTATTCTGTTTCAAAGAGTTGTTAAAGTTCTAAAAATGTTACTATCATGTACATAAGCACCAGGTTCTAGTAATTTTTTTCTCGTGAGTATACAGGATAACACTTAAGACACTTTTAATATGTTTATAGATTGGATTTCAACAAATAAATGGCAGAAGGTGGAACCATGGTTCTCACCGTTAGCATGGAAAGCTATGCAGGTAACTAAGGCTTAAAGACAATGCCATGAACTCAGGTAAAGCTAATAAAGATGATTACATATGGAAATGTTTATAGCCATGTGCATATATATATAAAACTCAATATATATGCATATATTTCTTTGTTCTATTGGATGAGAAGGTCTTGAAGAAACAATATCCCCAAAGTAGCAAACATACATAGTGCACAGATCTTGGTTTCTGATACAATTCTTCAGTCAAAGGAATTAGAGTTATTGAAGAAATGCCTGATTATGAAAGAGCCCTCCACAAAACAAAAGCAAAATGAACCTGGAACATCTTGAAACACAAAAAATTAAGCAAATGCTGAAAAAACCTGATGGGGTAGGTAAAAAAAAGACTTAAGGGTCAATTCAAAAGAGCTCCTAACAGTCAAAGTTATAATTTGGGCAACAAAATAAAAGTAGCATTGGACTAATAAAATAAACTATAAAATAAATATCAATGAGTCCATGTTGGCATAAATAAACAACTGTGTAAATAAATAAATGGGGAGGAGGCAAAACTCCTATGCAGAAGAATTCCAAAGAATGTATGTAAGTACTTGCTCTCAAAAACATGGTGCATAACTCTCTATTTCCATATGTGTAGGCTTCATATAATAACTTCCTTCCCAACAGTGTCAGATGATGAGAGGAAAAGGAGTACATGAGAGAAATCTCATATATACTATCCCAGCATGAAGAATGATAAGCCACAGAAATATGATGTTAGGAAAATAGTAACTCACTTGGGTGGTTGTTCAGGCCTAAAAATTAACCTAGTCTTTTCATGAGAAAAATAGCAAATAAATCCCAACTGAACATACTCCCAAGGTCCTTGAGAGCAAGGATGTCTGAGACTCTGTCACAAGCAAATGAGCTGTGACTATGAATACAATGTAGTATTTTGAAGGAGATATTAGCACAGAAAAAGGACAACAGATAAAACCTAAGGTAGTCTGAGTAAAGCACTGACTGCAGTTAACTTGAATGTATCAATATTATTTCACTAATTGTAGTAAGTGTACCATACTAATGTAAGATGTGGAGTAACAGGAGCTCTGTTCTACCTTCACAATGTTTTTTTTATCCTGAAAACCTAAAAGAGTTCCAACATGGAAACTTTATTTAAAACAAAATTCTTTGTGCAAACATTTTGTTCTGCACATAAGGAACTCCACTAATCCATCCAAACAAATTTACATGTCCTATATTTTACAATGGCAATTATCAATAGTTATGTTCAGCTGCCAAATGTCTACAGAAGGAGTAATTCTACTGTAATAAATTCCTGAATATTATCCATCCCTATGAGATTTCCATATCCTAGGCAAATGCCATACTAACAGTGTTTTGCTGTTGTGTGCCCATTAAACTTAGTTAAAACTTCAATTAAAACCAAGAGAGATGCATTTCCTTTCCTTTCTACACCACTATGTAGCAAAATGGCATGTGCTTTTGGTGCAGTAACTCTACACTGTACTGTGTTTGAATCTATTGACTATGGGAATTTTTCTTAACTGTGACACATTCCTAAAGAATATGCTTGTAATTGGAAAGATTTTACCATTTTTGGAAAAAAAGGGCAATGAGAATAGGGCTAGAATTGTTTCTCGACTAAAGACAAGGAATCAAGCATTTGCACAGTCTATTATCACTCTGCAGAAATATATTTGAATAAAGGCTCAGAGATGCTAGGAACGTCAATATCTAGGATCCTAATTTGGTCGCCCTTATGAGCACTATAATTTGATAGTGCTCACTTATACATATATGTCTCCAAGTAAATATGTGTCTCAAGTCTAATGGGTACATGCCAATTCTGAACTCTGGAAAACAAATCTTAGGATCCAAAGTGGGAAAAAAAGTGGGTAACCCTTTGGACTCTGTTCTATAATATTGTACCAACTACTCAATGCTCAAGCCCATGCATGGTAGTAATATACATTTATCACAATCTGTCATACAATGTGGTCCCCATTAATAGACTGGCCCTAGATATTTATTAGTGCTTTAGTAATTAGTATACAGCTTGAAACTTGTATACCCCAAGTCAGAAAATATCCTATATGAAGATGGTGATAATAGTAAAGCCTACACTTCATCTTGAAAAGTACAAGTAGGCCTTAACTTATGGATAATTTATGGGCTGGAAAGACATTGAAAATTGAAACAAGCTAAATTTAAAAACCAGAAATAACAAAATATGAGAATAGAAACACTGTGTGCATGATGCTAACTGGCAATAATCATAAGTACATTCTACTTACTTTGCCATCAACTATATATGAATTTTGAGTGATTTAAAGTTTTCTGAAGTATAACATATAAAATTGGACAAATATTGCAACCAATCACATATTTTTTTTCTTTAATTTGGTTTACTAGTGTGATCCCTGGGAGAAGGAGTATACAGGTCTATAAGGCCTCAAGTAAATAACTGTAGAAAGACTCTAACCCGTATTTGCCTCATCTGTAAGAAGTGAGGGATGGGTAGAAGTAGACAGGACCCCTTCTAGATGGTAGAGTTCTAGGATTTAGCTAGAAAGGACAGCCACAGGAGGTAGTAACCTAAAGTGTTCAAGCTAGAACTTTTGGAATATCTGCCAAGAAAAAAGGTTTAGTATGAAGACAACCTTTAGGCAAGAGGCTGTGTCCAATCCTACACTAATACAAAGCCCCTCTCCTTTTTCTCCAGGAGAGGAAATATGCCACATGGAGGTAGATCTGAGGTCCAAGGCCAGGAACAGAGGGTTTTATGTCCCAGAGAATATTAGGAACAGTCTGATTGGGCAACCAAATGTATAATATGCAGCCTGCTGTTATGTCTAAAATAAATGGCTTGGGTATTGATAGCAGTTGTAAAAAATTAAAAATGCTTTTTATATGTCAGTGTCAGAAAAAAATCTCTTCTATCCCATTAAAAACAGAAGAATGAGTGCCCCAAAATGGCATGAAGTAAACAAGATTCCTCTGGTGCAACCCCTTACCTCTGTATAACATGCTCAGTGTGCAATTTCTCTCAGGTAATATGCTGAATGGTTGCTTTATGTAAACAAAAGAATAAACAGTCCAGTGTAGCCCATCGAAAGCGCCATTTCAATAGGCTGCCCTTTGAATGAGGTGTGGGATTAACAGCAGTTCTAACACCTTATCCAAATAATTGCTCACAGGGTCCTCCCAGGTCTACGTTTTCCTGTCACTACCTGACATATTTTCCTAGAATACTTCTCCCTACTGATCTGTCTTCTGTGCTTTGAATATTTGTCCAAACTTAAGCTAAAAGGAATATAATTGTGCCATAAAACCTTTAATTATAAAGGAGCATGAGGAGGAAGAGGAGGTCGAGAAAATCCCTTCATTTCTTTGATGAACTTCAAAAGGGAGGGCTGGTACTGTCTATAAACCAAACTGGTAAGAACAAGTGAAACTGGATCTACAAAACCTTCGGGGTTAGAATGAGACACTATTTCAGACTCAATTCTCTGTAAATCTGACCAATCAACTCCACTGTTATGCCCCTTGTACCTATGACTGAGAAAAAATCCCTCATTTTAGGATAAAAGTATTACAAAACAAGAGAAAAGTGTGTGTGGGGGGGGAGCAGCGGATGTTTGTTCACAGCCTTGAGTTGATTCCTGTTTTGTTTGCTATTGTAGGAAAAATGTCTATAACATAGCATGAGGGGTCAGGGAGGGCAACCATGGGCGCCGCACTAGAATTCAACCCAGGAAGAGGTTGAGAAAACTGAAGTCTGGACAGTGGACAGGTGAAAGCGGAATATGAAGAGCCGCATGGGAGACCAGCTAACTTTTTCTCCAGTCTCATCAACCTGGCTCAGTAGGCTGTTCTAACCCCAATCACAGGGGCAAGTTGTAGTCAAAGAGGCAAACAAAGTCTCAACCTCAGCACACGCTCAGGAGACCAGTGCAGCACATCCACTGTGGCCTGGGATATTCACATGGTGTCATGACGGCGGCGGTGTAGCGACAAGTGGTCAGATCGAGAAAAACTGCGGTTGCAGTCTGTGCACCTGAAGGGCTTGATGCCTGTGTGCTTACGGAAATGGCGAGTGAGCTCATCCGAGCGAGCAAATTTCCAGGAGCAGCCATCCCAGGTACATTTGTAAGGCTTCTCTCCTGCAGGGGGAACACAACAAAATGAAGGTAATCAGGAAATGACTGACCACCAGAAAGATAGCCGAATACATGATTTGTATTTATAGCAAAGCTTTAGTCTCAAAGTACAACAATCACCTTGAAGGGGCACTCTCATTCATCTTTTTAATTAATTAGTTTGACAAATTTAAAAATACTGAGCCCTGCCTCTGGTAGTGGATCAGTATTTATCCCTAGTATACAAATGGATTTGGGAACCCTCTCCACATAGAGGGATACTCTCTCAGCCTAGACACATGGGGGAGGGTCTAGGCCCTGCTCCAAATGATGTGACAGACTTTGAAGATCCCCCATAGCAGGTCTCACCCTCCCTGGGGAGCAGAAAGGGGATAGGAAGGGGGCTGGGAGGAGGGGAGGGAGAGGGAACTAGGACTGACATGTAAAAAAAAGCTTGTTTCTAATAAAAAAAATATATTGAGCCCTGGTTGAAAAAATTAGTTTGACAAATAAACATCATACTACTTCTCTTCTACAAGTTGCAAAATATGCATACACTGTAGACAGGTTAAATCTAACTGATTAGCATATGCATTACTTCACATACTTACTGGTTTTTGAAGTGAGGATACCCCAAAGTCTACCTGACTATACACTGCTGTTTGCAGAATGTCTAAACTTGGGCTGAGATGGTAAAGTGGAGAGAACACGGGCCCTCAAAGACTCTTTGAGTCTTGCTTCTACCACACTAACCACATAGTAAATAGTAGCTTTCCCCTGGCCAAGTCTCTTTTCTCAAATCTAAACAGAGGCAAAAATATCTCACAAGGTTGTTCAAAACATTTAAAAGGTAGACAGTGGAGGCCACACATAGGAAAGCATGCCTGCAACCCTAGCAATCAAGAGGGAGAGGAGGGAGGAACATTACAAGTTTGAGGCCAGGCTAGTCTACATAGTGAGTTCCAGGCTATGCAAGGCTATATAGTGAAGTACTGTCTCAAAAGAGAAAAGAAAAAAAATTAGATTGCTAGTGAGCACTGTAATTGAAATACAAACTATTAATTACATTCCTCCTATCTGTGACCAAATGCCTGGCAAGAAGTAAGTTATGGAAGAAAGAACTTATTCTGGATCATATGGTTTGAGGGCATGCAGTCCACTAGGGCAAAGTAGCCATGGTGGCAAAAGGCTCCATTTGGTCAGGAGCTTGGATTAGTGGGTACTTACATCTCTGTAGATCAATCAGGAAGCAGAAAAGAGGACAGAGAGTGGGGCTGGGCTGTAAGCCTACCTCCCAGAGATTCACTTCCTACAGCAAAGCCCCAACTGCCAAAAATTCCACAACCTCCCCCAAACAGCACAAGCAGCTGGGGGCCAAGTTTTCAAACACAAGAGCCTGTAGGCGGAATTTGACATGCAAATTGTAACACAAATCCAGGTGGCTGCCACTCTCTACGCTACTACACTGCTCTAACCATATTCTCTCATCGGATACTTTCTAATGAATAATCTGAAATAAATCAAATCCATCTACAATAAGAACGTATGACTTGATGGAAAGAGCATTCAACTAAAGCGTGCTTGCTTCTGTGTAAGGTCGGAAACTCATACAAGGGAAGGGATGAGGAAAGCTGTCAAGCCCAAGAGAGAAAGAAAAATGGAAAAACTTAGTATAGGGAGAATTACCACAGCACAATCACATTATATGCATAGGTCACATACCATACATTTGTACATTTGGGATAAAGGAAATATCAACACACTGAAATAAATAATTATAGAAAAAGTATCAACAATGAGAAAAGTCAAGGTGAAAGATTGTAGGAGGCCTCTTTAAAATAACTTTTTGTACTGTGAATACTTTAAAATCATGTATATACATATATATGTATGTATCATATATATTATAATGAAAAATTAAGCCAGGAGTGGTAGTAAACATGTGTAAACCCAGGACTAAAGAAATTGAGGTAGGAGGTTCAAGAATTTAAAGCTAGACTAGGTTCCTAAGTGAGATTGTGTTGCAAAAGTTAATTGGGGCAGGATAGATGGCTCAATGATTCTTAGCACTGGCTGCTCTTCCTGAGGGACCAGGCTAAATTCCCATCAACCACCATCAATAACTCCATTTCTAGGGGATCTGATGCCTTCTTCTAGTCTCTGTGACACAAGGCACAAACATGGTACACAGACATGCATACAGGGAAAACACCCCTATACATAAAATAAAAATAAATAAACCTATTTTTTCAAGACAGGGTTTCTCTATGGAGCCCTTTGCTGTCCTGGAATTCACTCTGTAGGCCAGGCTGGCCTTGAACTTAGAGATATGCCTGCCTCTGCCTGGGATTCAATGCATGCATCACCACTGCCCAAACAAGATTTTTTTAATTAAAGGAAATATGCTATATGAATAACTGGTTAAAATTAGGTTACAAATCATTGTAATATTTGTTTTTCCTTAATATGCTTCTGTTTCTCATCTTATGATGAGTGTGTACTATTTTATAATCAGAGACAAGCAATAATGCAGACACGATGTGTATTACGATTCTAACAGTCTTTGCTCTTCTATCCTTCCTTTCCCCATTATAAAATTTTCAAGGCATTTACTTTTTGCTGTTTTAAATTCTGGTGGTAAAAAGATTTGTATCTTTCCTTTTAACTTACTGCTTGCTGCCTACTAATCCTGTCAAGTGTCCACTAATTAACTGTATAGCTGTTAGATAACAGACCACAGAATGGAGTCCAGTCTAGCTCACAGGTTTGGAGTATTACCAGGAAACAATTTGGTTGATTAAAGATGTTATTTACTGATCATTTCAATAGCTGCATTAGCCTCTAAGAAGACTGACACACAGCAAGCCAAATGTATTAAGACTAAGGATAACCTGGGTGTAGTGGTACACACCTTTAATCCCCGACACACAAAGAAGAGACAGCCAGCCTGAGTTCAATGCCAGCCTGGTCTATAAAATGAGTACTAGGCAGGGCTACGTTGTCTATCTCTCACCAAACAAAAGGTTGGAAGATTACACATGATTATTAACATCTAGAAAGGAGAATAGAATTTCAGAGAATGTAGGGAGTGCAAATGAGATTTTTTCACTTTTATTCAAAATTGTAATATCCCATTGCTACACTTTACAGCACATTTGCTATGTATAGACTTCATTGTAACTGCTCAAGGATTTCTCCTAGGTATTCCTATTTTCACTACACCCAGATGAATAATAACTGACTTGTTAAAGTAGTGCCACCATGTGGCAACTCACTGCTAGAGCACAGATTCAAAACAGTTCAGGAAGTCCAGCTTTCTACTTCAAGATCTTTGCCTTTTATTACGGTTAAAGAATCTTTTATTCAAGCTAAGGTCAGTGTTATCTAGACACCAAAACCTGATGAAGACACATGAAAAAAAAGCAAGCAAGCAAGGTACAGGCCAACAGCCTTGATGACCATGCAAAAATCCTCAATACATTCTTTTCAAACTGAATTAAGCAGTATAACAAAAATAATAAGCCACGGTTAACTTGATTTCATTCTGGTGTGCCAGGACAGATCAACATGCACAAATCAGTAAATGTAAAATAGTACATAAACAGGATCAAAGATAAATATTCCATGATAATCTCAATAAATGCAGGATAGGACTCTGATATAGTTCAACATATATTCATAATATAAACCTTGAAGGAATTAGGAACAGGAGGGTCACATACCAGCATGATAAATGCTATATACAGCAAATCTATAGCCAGCATAATACCAAATGAGAAGAAACTGGAAGCATTTCTTGTATAATAAAAAACAAGACAAATCCGCACTCCTTTTAAATACAGTGCTTGAAATTTTATCCATAGCAATATGGCAAACCAGAGAAGGAGAGAGAGGGAGAGGGAGGGAGGGAGGGAAGGAAGGAGGGAGGGAGGGAG